TATATATATATATATATATATATATATATATATATTCGCATGTGTGTCTATTTTGACATTTTCATTGTTCTTGTTCTTAATCTGACTCAAGGTCAAACATTCATTTATTGATCATAACTTTTGCTTCGCTTGCTGCTAATTTGTTAAAAGAATTAATTCCGCTTGAAATGTGACTATTTCAATCTCTTTTTTCGTTTGTCACGAACTTTTCAATATCAAGAGATGTATTACCGTTTCTCTGGTGTGGATAGCATTAATTTATCATAGTGACTGACATTGATTTCAGGGTTCAAAAATAATTGTTCCTTGAGAAAATTCTCACAAACTAATGCCGATACCTTTGCCGGAATAGCATAATGAACCCGATATTTTAACGAATCTTTGATTATTTCTACAAACTATAATGCTAGCTGAAATGTGATGGTGAACGCACTTAACTGAAATATTATTGACACTGAGTTAATTACCGACTGTGGATGACATCCATTTGGCCTACTGCCAAATTACGGTTATACAAAATTCAATAAATTTGATTTACCAGCAGCCTAATCGAGCCGGGCGTCGGTAATGTTCACCTGACAAGTCCGTATATTGACAATCACACACGCCAATAGCGATATCCGTCTTTGTGTGTATCTGCGTTAAAATGCATTATCTATTGGCTGTGAGGTAAACGCTATTTGGTCAAGACTCGGAGAACTACTAAATAGTTCGATCCTCATTCTGTGCCTCATACAGTATTCGACATTAGGAGTAGATAGTTTCGCTTATCATCAGGTTCACACTCCTCCCCGGGGTTTTAAACAAGAGTAGAGGTTTATCCTTGTTACCTGTTTAGGGTTGTGTTTCCGGTTCCTTCTCAAGCCTATTTTCATTCTCTTTTACCCCCAATCGCCTCCCTGCGTCTTAGTGTCATTATCGCCTTGCTTGTGATGAATTGATTAAAACGAAATTAACCCAACAAGAGTTGGCATGCCGTTAAACCAACCAGCGCAAGAACTATGCATCCTATATCCGGAAGATACGATATACAAATATATAAAGTTGTGTCTAATGGGGATTCTGGAAAGACAAGAACGACTGTCTGAAAACAAAGATTAGACTACAAAACTATCCTCGGCATCTTTTACATAGACCGCATCACAAATTAGACAACGCGAGACGCCATCAGAGAATTAGACCAGTTGGAAGACCTGATAATCCACCGATAAGAAACGAAAATTGAAATGATATGGCCATATTGGAAGAGCCAATAATCTTTCCACTGATATCGATCAAGTTAGCATCTTAAGCAAAAGATGTAGAGACAGACAGGAAAAAAAAAAAATGAACTGAAAACCTCACTGAGTGGCAGTAGCGATTCTGGAACTCTGAAAGTCGGTTGGGGCACTTGGGGGCCGAGATTTTTCTGCGGAGGAGGGGAACATTTCAAGCAGCGTCTTTATTTTTATAGTACACCAATATCGTATGCACAACTTAGGAATGAGCCTTAGTATATGTATGTTTCTTCACTAAATTAAACGGAATAACTTTTCATTCATAATAGTGGAGTTCTAATCTATTCTTGCCCTCTTTTCTACTCTCAAGCTGTTGGACTTCAAAACAAAATCAAAGGGTTAATACTAACGTCAATACTAGCAGAAAAGTGTAATTTGTCTGCTCTGATTTTTTCCTCTACAAAACTTAGAAAAGTAGGGGGGGGGCAACCAAGGGTTCAGACATTCTGGGTGTGGTCACTGGCTGCTTCTGCCCCTCACCCGAAGAATCGCCATTGCTGAGGGGACTGAATAACTTTACAATTTTCAAGAATAGCGTAACACGATAATCACTTTAACATCTTCGTCTTGGGTTAAACTATTAAGGTCAAGTTTAGTAAATGTTAAACTCTCTCTCTCTCTCTCTCTCTCTCTCTCTCACACACACACACACGCACACACAGAAAACTGGAAGTCAAAATTGCAACTACTGAGAAAAAAAGAGGAAAAAGAGAAAAAGAAAGAAAAGGTAGACGACTCAGTGTAAAGTGAAAAAAAAAAAAACAAACAAAAAATAATGACGAAAAGGACAAGTAACCACGACAGTCTACACGTACGCACATACGCGTAGACAGGCGCAGGCGCGTGAACGCACACACACACACACACACACATAACTATGAAAAAAAACTTGCACTAACGAAAAGTGCATATAAAAACAAAAAATCGAGAAGTATAAGCAGTCAATTGCTGATATCCTCTGACGAGTGGACAGAGTGATTCCCGGGAAAGTCAGTTTGCAGAGCTCTGGAGTCGGGATGCTGGGGATAATATCAATCAGCTAAATGACAAACCTTTTACTATCTATCTATCTATCTATCTATCTATCTATCTATCTATCTATCTATCTATCTATCAACGTATTTATATGCATGCGTAAATGAATAGATATGTGTATATATGTATATGTAAAACTATGTGATAATTTCTAACCAACAAACACCTCTGTTTCCCTTTTCCATGTTCTTTCTGGTACATTATTATTGTGTTTGCTATTCATTAGGTCCCAGTCAGCCAACCTTTTAACCTTTCTATTTGTTTTGAATCTATTCCACTTCCATATTTGATGGTTTTTATAACTATTATCTGGTCGCTGATGAGTTTAAACCTCTTTCTTTCTCCTTATCATCTGAGTTTGTTTTCAAGGGCTTTTGTTAATTTCCAAGTTTCGCGTCAAAACTAACGTTATACATTGATTATGCACTTTAAGTTTTTAGGTATATTGAAAAAGTTATTTTAATTATGTCTCTTATTTGAAAAAAATTGTTTATACGTAGTTTTATTTCATTTTAAAAATATATCTCTCATTTTATCATATGCCCTAATTAGTTTAATTCCTGGTCTTCTTTCAGAATGTTATCTTCCTTTCTTATCAGATTTTTTTACGAATGTAAAATTTAACATTATTATTTCATGATCTTATTGTTGTAACCTAGGGAAGGTTACTGAATAGAATAATCACTCGAAGGTTGGTAATGAACGATGAGAACAACACATAAGATTCGCCAGCGGCGCGTAGAAGTAGTCAACTGCTAGAAGTGAATTCCACAATGAATCTCCAACTGCAGAATATCTACCAACCGCCTCACGCGGTCAGATGTGGCACAAGACCGAATTTAATGTGGGGTATCCTAGCCCGTAGACTCGGCCAAATATTCCCCGTAAATCCTTGTATAAAACGGGGTCGGGTAGCTATTTTCCGAGACGAGACTCTGCCCTTCGACATAGCCTCGTCTGTGGATTCTCTCTGTCCGGAGGCAGAGAGTTTGACCAGCACAGCTGGAGACAAATCTCCAACTGCAGAATATCTACCAACGCTGTTAGATGTGGCACAAGGCCGAATTTAATGTGGGGTATCCGATCCCGTAAGCTCGGCGAAAAATTCCCCGTAGACCTCTTATAAAACGGGGTCGGATAGCTGTTACCCGAGACGAGACTTTGCCCTTCGACATAGCCTCGTCTGGGGATCCTCTCTGCCCGGGGGCAGAGAGTTTGATTTACACAACTGGAGACGAATCTTCGTCTGCAGAGCAACATGCAGTATTTACTACATACCCATTATCGTTCGTAAGTATGCTATAACACTTATGTTTAATTTGTTCTTTGGAAACTTTAAGATAGAAAGCGATTTTACATGAGTTTTTCTTCTTTTTTACCTCCAAAGTAGTAACTGCTTTAAGTTTTACTTTGGCCCCAGTAGCATGTGTATCAGAGGGATGTGTTAATTTTGGTCAGACATTAGCAGCATAGTGAAAACAACATGCGTCCTCAGGTGCTTAAAAAATGAGACTGTAGGCGATTGCCAAGGGTGATAATAACCCACTTACTGGGAGGGTCCGCATAATCATTTATACAGTAACTTAGTCTTAATGCCTTCGTTAAAGTTCTTTGGGAGATAACGCATCAACTGACGTGATCAATAGTATGAACAAGGCCAGCACGCTCAGATCCTCGATCGCGATGATTGTGATTTCGTGTTAGCACAATCATCGACAGTTTCCGTACGATTCCGACTATTCAGTTTCACTCGCAAGGCTAGTGTTAATCCGTACTAATGTTTTAGACACTTTCTAACGCGCTGGGATCGCCACCTCAGACCGATATAATCAAGAAGTAACCGTCCTGACAAATCGACCATAGAGACATTCAAATCCGGGCGTCATGTCTCAGAAAGCGAATGTTGTAACTACATGGCGACGCGCCAGATAGATAGCTAGATAGATGCAAACTGTCATGTGGATACGAACGGATTTAGACATTTAGAATAGACAATGGAAATCGATATGCTGAGAATAGATTTATTAGTTTGATTTTGTTCATTGGTCAATAATATAATCTTATCAGACATTTTAAGCAATCACCCAAAACCAATATGGAATATTTATTTTTACATAAGCGAATAATTAAAGAGATGGAGTGAGAGAGAAACTTATATGTTTCGTAACCTCCATTTGCTTAATTTGCTACTAAGTGCCAATTCTTTCTACGGTCAGAACATTAATGCAGAAAGCACTGGATGACCGTTTCGTCCTACATCTTGGGACTCGTCAGCAGTGCGCACCCACTACCGTAACGATACCACGCAAGCGTCATACCAACCGTACCAGCGGGACTCGGTGACGAAGAGGTAACAACGAATTAGACTCGATATAGCGCCGCTCTTCACAAATTCCGTGGTGTAACTCATTCGAGTTTCCCTTACCCATAGCACTGTGCTCCGACGAGCCACGACCACGGTTCAAGCAAGGATATACAATTGAAAGAAATCATCAGGAGAATTTAAGATAATCATAAATAATTAATTAATTCATCAACTCTAGAAGAAACCTGAAAATAATGTATTATATTTATAATGTATTATATATATATGTATGTGTTGCAGGCCCGGTAGGGTGCAGTGCTGGTTTATTACTAAGTGGCCTTGTGCCAGACACCACACTAAACTACCGAGTCTACAAGCAATGTAAAAAAGATAAATATGTGCGTGAATGAACAGTGAGAGGAAAGGGGTCAATCAACAAGTGCATAAAATAAAATATATTAAGATAGCCGACTCAGAATGACAGGACAAGACTGGATTCAAACAAGAGTAATTTTTATTAAATGCAGGAAAAAAACAAGTAACTTCTCCCGTAGTAAGGGATCAATGAATATGTTCCGCGCCAAAAGTAGAAAATAAAGATGGCTAAAGGCAGGGAAAGGTTCTTGAAGAAGAAAGGTTCCAGTAAGTCAATGTACATGATAATATTCATACAAGGAAAAATACTCACTGCGAGCTTTTAGGTAATGTGAGTGAATGTTATGTACATATTTTTTTTTCTTTTTTTTTGTACTGGTTCAAAATTATAAAGAATGTCCGGTCGTCTCAGAGTTTTTTTTGGTGAAACATTGAATTGACCGCTGGTAAATGTTCTGGACTGCTGTGGGCATCTAGCCGGGAGAAACGAAGCATGGTCTTGTAGAATGGTTTACGGCGAGCCCAAAGAAAAGACGAAAAAATGTTTTTGTTCAAAGGTAATACTATCCCTGCCTGTATTATTTGGTTCGAAGCCAGGGGTAAGTTTAAGTCACCTGTTGAACACGAAGTTTCTGCCGACGACAGTGTCGTGTGTCTCTAAAAACGTCTTCTGGTAGAAAACGGAGAAAAAGGTCCTGACCTGTGATTAGCAATTTGTTCGTTCAGTAGGACATCCCTGCCTATACTTATTAGGCCCCTGACGAGGGATAAAAAATACGCCATTAGTTGAATACGAACTTTGCTCGCGACAGTGTCGCGTATCTCTAAAACATCTTCTGGTAGAAAACGGAAAAAAGGTCCGACCTGTTGGCAGCTTCAAAAAGGAAAAAAGTCTTGGTAGAGGGTGCAGTCGACATTGTTGAAAAATAAGATATTCCGGCCCGCGTATGGGTTAAGTGCACGGAATAAATGAGTTGCCCATCCAGTCCGGTCGAAAGCTAAGAGGCAACTGGCTTGCAAACGCTGGCCGTTTGAAACGCCGCGAAACGCGCGGGAAAATTCAAAATCTGTTATGAGTCCAAATCAGTAGGAGCTCAAAGTAGGTTACTGCTATGTTTAGCTGTGAGTGAAAGGTAGGGGTGAAAACACGCGCGCACACACGCACGAGTGTGAAAGGAAGGGAGGAAACTCGCGCGCGCGTAAAATATAAATGGAATTAATGTGTTAATTCCATATATGTATATATATAAACATAGAAAGTATATATAAACATGGGAAAGGACTTTATATATATCGAACACTTCCGCTCCAGCCCCTCAACCTCTGATGTCTTACTCTCTGGTTGAGTTGTCTACTCGGTCCTAACCGAACTTAAGGGAGTGGCCGTAGGTCCCCTGAGCATCCGTAGATTATTCGACCGGTCCACTGGTTTTATCCTTCTTCCTGCCCACGTTGTGTTTGGTTTGATCCAGAAAGCAGAAGTGATTTTCATCCATTCATGGTCGACTGAAGATGTAAACACGGCTGGAGAGTCTGCACTAAGAAATTCAGAATGCAGCAAAAAAACAAAAAAAAAAAAACAAAAAAAAACATGAATATCTGCAGAAAGCCGGACAAACAACTATGCAATGAGTGAATTATTAATGTCTTTTATATAGCTGAAAAGGATAGTATAGAAAAGAAACGGGTTACAGAAAAGTAATTGACGTATAAATTTAGAGAGAGAGAGAGAGAGTGAGAGAGAGAGAGAGAGAGAGTTATGATTAACTTGGTGTTAAATCGTATCATTTCTGTGCGCGGCTTAAAGTTTATAGTGGCGTTCCACCTTAGCTCTACCTTGGCTCTACTTCTTTGCACGTGACTATCACGGGGTTTTGTCTGGTTCAACCAAAATCATGTGAATTCTAAAGTACCTTCTAGCTTACTCAGCTCTATTTCAATTTTTAATCGATAAAAATTCTTTCGACCATTTCCATTTTCTGATGACCCAGATTCAATGGGCACAACTTCTGCCCTAGATCAAATTTAACACATCAGTAAACAAAAATGCTCTGATCTAATTTCGCTGTTCAAATCCACCCAATTTCACTAAAAAAATATACGTGTGTGTGTGTGTGTTTCCGAAACTCTTTCCGTCACATATAAATGAATTTTTAAAACAGAATTTTTCTTCTCTTAGACTTTAGCTTGCCATATTTATTCCACGTTACAGCGTAAGAATGCCACATCTATACAGGTATAGCTGCTACATGGTCTTGCAGCTACTTAAAATATTTTTTAATTTCTGGTGCAGACCTATCAAATTTACTGGAGTTAAGTTGGTGATAAAATTTCAACATCTCCTTCTACAGTGAATATCGAGGTATGTTTCCTGTATGCTTAATTTTCAGCTTACATTTAATGAGACCAGTCGGCTGTTCTTTCAAAAAAAAATATTTGAATAGAGTATAATATCATTAAAATTCTTTTTTGTTAGTCAACAAAGACTTAAAGACACTTTGTTTCCAGTCGTTAAATTATGTTTATATTTTTTTGCTGTCGTTCAATGACTATCGTGAATATTTCGTTTTGATTAACTTTTTCTAACTATTTACGCTTCTTAGTCTATTAAAGCGAAGAAGTATATATTCTATATGTTGGCGTCAAATTACACTTATCCGAGCAGGAAGAGATTCATATAGATTAATGCTTTTAAACACAATACACAGCATGTACACAACTTGACGAGAAATATTCTTCAGGTGTTTTTGCTTCGAGCTATGGCTTCGAGCGAATCGGAATTAGTTGTTCGGTCAATATATCCGATGAAAAGGTTAATGTATTGATCGGCTCCTCTTTGCTACAAGTCATATGAGACGGAAATATCCGAATTTGTACGACGTTACCTCGTATTACACTTTGTTCAAGAGATCTGTGGACTTGGGTTTTAAGGAAGATTTCGAATGTATTGGCGTGGAGACTGATTTTGAAACAAAATTACACTTGAATTAACGATTAGATTTGTTTATCTTTTATTACACACGTCTTAAGGCATGTGTAGATGTGGGGTTAGCCTAACGGTTATCAGCGCGGGAAAGTCGAATTGGTGAGCGGAGATCAAATTCAGACCTTGGGAAAAGTATTAATCCATTTGTTTTTCTCCGCCACTTATGGGTTAGATAGTAGTGCAGAACTCTATGGCCTTGAGTGACCGCAAGACAAATATATATCCCCAAAATGAAATAAGTAAATTCATTCCTTACTGCTGGTACCATGTAACTCAGTGCATGCTGTCGCATGATACTTGGAGAGTAGAAAAGCACTCCCATAGGATTCTTATTACCCTAGAGACCTGCCATGAAAAGAGTAATTGCTGAGCATGGTTCATCGACGATTCCATGGGTTAGCTTTGTAAGCATAACCGTAGGTAGCGATATCGTATATATATATATATATATATATATATATATATATATATATATATATATATATCGTGAATAAATTTAAGATAGACAAGAAACTGTTTCCTTTTGTGATGTGCTTTATAAATTTTTGACCTATCTATCTATCTATCTATCTATCTATCTATCTATCTATCTATCTATCTATCTATCTATCTATCAGGGTCTGCTCAAACTATTTTATCACAGAGCATACAATTATATATAGAAAACCAAGACTTCTGTGCTTTTCTAGGAAAACATTACGAGTGTAAAAAAAAGTGAGTTCCATAGGTGGAAAGTGCAAGAAAGGAAACTAATTGGAGTAGAATTGATGACTTTCAACAATAAAAGAATGGGACCTAGTTGCCAATCTGGTAGCACGCTTAAATTCATGTAGTTGAGGCACCAAGGAAAAAAGCTCGTCTAGGCAGTGGCCATGAAAATATCTGTAGAAAAGACAAAGGGCAGTCACATCACGTCACTGAGAAAGTGAATTCAGAATAAAATTATGACGTTTAGTCATTTGGTCAGATTATGTGAACTTGGTCAAGCCGAGAATTTTTCAGCATCCCCACACTCACAAACAAACACAAACACACACACATAACATATAGACATATATAAGTACACGAACTATCGTGAATTTGATAATGTACTAGTCGTGCTGCATTAGTACTTAGTCACAAATTAAGTTCTTTGTTTCAAAGTTGAGGTTCGGAAATATATAAGTTTCTATTTCAGTCAATCTCTTTAATTACCTATGCATTGTTCAATATGGAACAGTTAAAAAAAGGAAAAGGTCGTGTCTCTTTAGTTCATGTAAAATAAGTCTTCCATATTGGTTTTGGGCGATTGGTTAAAAGGTCTGATGAGATTATATGAATTCGATGAACGAAATCAAAGAAATACGTCTATTCTCAACATGTAATTTCATTGTCTTTTCCGACTTTAGTGAACGTGAACAAGAAATAAATAGAAAGAACGATGTTAAATCTGGAACAAAGGATTCTTACAAACAGATTTGGTGATATAAGACTGTCTTACAGACCAGTTGTGAGTGTAGTGAGTTCAAGCGCGCACCAAACTAATAACCTGGGATTAAAATTAGTAAGTATCAAAACACCTACTCTCTGGTAATGGGTAGAAAATTAATTTTGTCAAACAGATTTAGAAGTAGAATAAATTCTATCCTCCATGGGGACACTCTTGTGGCATTATACCAGAACAATCAAAATTCAGAAAATATTATTTTGATACCTTAAAAGTGCTTGCGATGGATAAATTGTTAATTAGATATTTAAGGATTATTATTCTCACTGAGTACTCTAGGATTGTGGGTTTGAGCCCAAATACGCTAATTTTACTAAATAACCTTGTCGGGTTATCAACATATTAAGTTTTCGGGCATACAGTCCTCACTCTTTATACACACACATACACACACACACACACACACACACACACACACACACACATGCGATACACTTATAATGTAACAATATAATAAATATCTGCCCCTGAGGATTGATAACGTGTCGGTCAAGTGTCATACATGATACACGCGTGGGCGATCATATAACATTTGATACATGAATGACGATGCAGATTTTTCCCGTTGTAGGTTGCCATTTCTTTCTGCGGTAGACTGGCTGCCAACCAAGACTAAAAAACCCAGTCTGTCTTGCTATTCAACCCATAGCTGGGGGAGAAGAGATGAATTCATAACTTTCCCTAGGGTATTTGTGCGTAAGTGACTCGAACTATCTTGTCCGGAATTCGTGATAACATGGCAAAGTTTTAACCGGTCATAAGTAAGTATTGTGAATATTTTTTTTTATTGACGATGATGATAAAAATAATTATAATAAACAACAACAATAAAAATAATAATAATAGTAGTAGTAATAATAATAATAATAATAATAATAATAATAATAATAATGACTCTAGTTGCGCTCATTTCCAAAATTCTGTTCACCTCAGCGTACGTCAAATTACAGCGTTTATCAATATGTGATATTTTTTTATTATTGTTACTATATAAATGTATATCGAAATAGAAAATAAATCAAAATAAAAACCATGTTGAAATCAGTTAAAAATAAAATGTAATTTCTATAACGACCCAGTTAAAGGAAAAATGAAGCATTCAGTCGCTTAATGCGAATCACGTTTGCCTCGCTAATGTAGATTCTGAAATAAAATTATTTTTGCTGATGACACTGATTCATCGACGAAAGCAAATTTCCTTATACATTTACAGGAAATGTATAAGAAAATTTACTTTAATATTCTGTCAGATTCTCATACAACTTTACTCACACACAGACACACACAAACAAACACACACACACACATGTAACGTAGCAGATTGATATTACCTGCAGCATTATTGTTTTCTCCATGTTATCCATGCAGCTGTAACTAATTTTGATTTTATATTTGTTGATAATTTTTGATCATTTTTTTGTTTTTAGGTAAGTGCTTGTCAATTATTTTGAAGAATATTTTATCTATTTTTGTTTTTATTGTATTGTTGTGTGTATTCAAATTATATTTGCTTTTCTGCTGTTTTTGTTTGAATCGTTTTCGTTTTGTATTCTAGTATGTTTGAATATCCGCTCTTTCCTAGGGCTGATTTATATGTCTTATTTTAAAATTTTCTTTGAATATTTTTAGGCTACTAGAATTTGTTGAAATTCTTTTATTCATAGATATGGGTATTTATTTAAATCGTTATTGGGGTGGTTAGAATTTTTGTCAATGTATATCGGGTTTTTTGGTTTTGTCTATGGTTTGTAGGTTCATTTGTTTAGGTTGAATGTTATATAAAAGAAATTTACTATTTTTGGATTTGATTTTATATCTATTATAAAAATCCTAGGGTTTTAAAGGTTTTTATTATTATTTGTTTTATTTTTTCTGTAGTTCTACCGCTGCAGTTTCTTAGGATTAATAGACCGTCGTCCATTTTTTTGTTAATAATATTTGTTAATTCATGACGTGCCTTGCCATCCTGGCCACGGAGTTCGTCCTGGTCAAACAAAGACCGAATAGTGCTTTTGAACACATATCTTATCCGTTTCTTGAAATATACATTCTACTCTGTTTCGTATCGTAACGTAAACAAAGACATTATTTTAATCCATGTCCTATAGGAAATGGATTAAATTCGACATATTTTTATTTAAAAACTAACGTTTAAACAAATAGATAAAAATATGTGGGATCTAATCCATTTCGTAAAAATGTCTTTCTTTACGCTAGTATACGAAAGAGCAGATATTTCTATTTCGAGTATCAGGAAAGATATGTGTTTAAAAGTACGATTAGGGCTTTATTTGATCATGCACACAAACACACACGCACAGACACACAGACATAAACAAAACATACACACAAACACGCACACATAAAACACACACAAACATACACACGCACATGTATACATGAAATCGTTTGTTTGACAGTTATTTAATATATTTTCTGCTTATACGTTATTTTTATAGATATAATTTATTTAAGTAAATCCTCTGTTTTTAATTAAACAGTATTAATTACATTCATGCCTGTAAATGTAATTAATAGTGTTTAATAAAAACAGTGGATTAACTTAAATAATTAATACCTATAAAAATAAAGCATAAACAGAATATATATATATATATACATATAGAAAATAGGAAAGAACTCGTTAGGTAAATAATCCAAAGTTCTTTAGTATTTTTGTTATTATTTATATTATATATATATTTAGTATTTTTGTTATTATTTATATTATATATATTATATATTAGTTATATTCCTCGTAGTAAGACAGTATATGTATGGAGGGGAAATATACGCACGCATATATACACGCATGCTGACAGGAACACACCAAAATGGAAACAGATCCAAGAGCACATAGGGGTCACTAAAACATTAAAAGATAAAATTCCGATAACTACTCGCTGGACCAACCTTAATTGTTTTATGACCCTTCGCGCAGAACTCTTCATTGACAATTCTAGAAAGAAATTCGGATTACCAACACACAAACAGAGAATGTCTCATATCGAGAATATTTCACATTGAACATGATGAAAAAATTAATTATTTTTTAATAATATGTAGAAATCTCCACTTTTACCTGAAGACGGTCGCGAGACCAGAAACACGTGTCGTAAAAATTATGTAAAACAAAAAACATAATATTTTTTTTCTAAAAAAAAATCACATTACAACCAAAAAGTTAGTAGCACCTCTCTTCTCTTCTTTTTTAATATACATACTTTTTTCTCGTTGGAACCACTACAACATATTTCTTTTATATATATATATATATATATATATATATATATATATATATATATATATATTATTTTTTATTTTTTTATTTATGATTCCAAACGCTACATAAGAGTTCTCATGTTTCAAAACAAGAGCCGAAAACTTCAATATAATTGTTTGAATTAAATTAAATTAAAGTACCAAGCTCTGTTCCATCTTCAAGGGAAATTTTTTTGGGAATCTAATTTTTTGAAACATGAGAACTCTTATGTATCGTTTGGAATCATATTTTTAAATAAATAATTATATTTATGCTCTACTTTTGTATCGTGCACTATTTTTTTTAAAGATAATAACAAAAATACTAAAGAACTTTGGATTATTTACCTAACGAGTTCTTTCCTATTTTCTATATATTTTTACACACACACACACACACACACATATATATATATATGTATATATACATACATACACACACACACACACACACACACACACACACACACACACACACACACACACACATATATATATATATATATATATATATATATTCAAACACATGTTTCATTGAGTAATATAAACATATTGTATCTATTTCTTTGTATACTGATCCTTTTCAGTTCAATAAACAGATAGGTACCTTAGTTGAAATAAACTAACATTTTTAGAAGAACTATAACAAAGCGCGTTCGAGTTTCTGTTTTTTTAAAATCATTACAACAGAATGCAGATTTTATTACAGTTATTTTTAAGGAATTATTGCTGACTGCTACTTAGTGTGTTGAATTTAGTTTCAACGATATTACGTACAGCCAGATTAATAATATTGCGCTGGGAAGCACTTTAGGGCCACTTTTGACAAATATATTCGTGGGTTTTTATCAAAATCGTCCTTTTGAAAATGCTCATAGACCCAGTATGTATTATCGGTATGTTGAGGACACATTTTTTTTGATGACAAGAAGGGGTCGGTTTCCTAGATCAGTTGCAGTTGCGTCCTTCATTCCGGTTTACGATGGAGAAGGAGAGCGATTGTTCCCTATCTTTCCTTGACGTGCTTGTACAAAATCCTATAAGAGGTTTCTTACAAGTGTATATAGTAAACCTACCTTTTCTGGTTTGTGTACTGATTGGAAAAATTTGTACCAAGACATACGAAAATCAATTTAATTATTACATTCGTAACAGTGTATATGGTTAATTTGTTCCTCTGTTAGTTTGGAGGAGGACCTATCTAAGATAAAACATATCCTCTTGGATAATGGTTATCCTAGGAATGTTTTTACGCGGTTTTCTTTTTCGCTTAAAATTTCAAAATTCAATTCTCCTCTTATATATGGTTCTAACAAGTGTCCTATTTACTTGAAATTACCGTAGATGGGAAAAAATGCTCAAGGTTGGTGGACCAGATCAATTCTTACATTCCTGAGTGTTATTGGACGAGAAAATTGCGGCTTGTTTTCTGTATCAGAGGGCGTTTTTCCTTCTTTTGAGAAGAATAAAGTTCATCCATTTTCTTGTAGTTCTGCTGTTTCTTATTTTAAATGTCGGTGCGATGTTGGGGCGAACCATCTTACGCCTGCTTACGGTTATCAACCAGCATATTCTAATCTGGATGCGACGGATTGAATTATATGTTTCAACAACGAGCAGAAGAGTCGGCGTTGGATTCTACTGTTAGCCAACACTTGATTGAAAATTCTATTTGTTCTGGCGAAATACAAAGAAAACAGGTTTCATATTGCCCATAGAGTACGATCTCGGCTTTTATTAAAGATCTTTAAGGCGGCCATATCAAGTTGAAAAAGCCAACGCTTTGTTGACAAAAGGAGACCTTTGCTCGTTCTATTCTCCTTTTGGTAAGACATTAAATTTAGTTTTTCTCCTGGCCAATTTCTGGTGTTTTTGTCAGGTTTATTAATCAATTTTATTCGTTTTTAACTTTACATATTAAATTGGTTTACATATTTTGATTGTTACGATTTATGTGAAACAGTTATATTCTCTCATTTTATTCCTTTAAATAATTGTCTTTTTTGTAGTTATTAATTAAAAAATAATTTTTGACAACGATTTTTCTCTGAAGAAGGCTTAGCTGAAATGTTTCTTATAAATATTCCCCTGTTTTTTTTTTAGCATTAATTCGGTGGCATCTTTTCTATTGAAAGCAATTATATATATATTTTAAGACATTTTTATGTTTATATATTCTTTTCGCAAACACAAATATTTAAGTAAATGCTCTGAATGTCCGAGAAATTTTCACAGAAAATATTCGTCCTCCAACAGGATTCGAACCTGTATCCTATACGGAACCGTCATTTAGCCTGACGTGCCATTACCGATTTGGCCACGGAGGAGCTTTCGGTTAGCAATGCCGAATTTACTGTATTTAAACTTCAATCTTCCATGAATCTCTCACGTACATTCATATCTGCTCATGGTGTATCAAATGTAAACAAATGACGTCAGACATTATGACATGGACGAGTTCGACAATATATATATATATATATATATATATATATGTATGTGTGTGTGTGTGCATGTAAACAGTGCACACATAGAAATCAATACTTCACAGTAACTAGCAGTTTCACGCTTTAAGTGAACATCAGAGCATGTAGCGTTTAATTCTATATTTACGCTTTGTAATTGCGTACGTTATATCTCCGATATTAAACCGCCCCATAAATATACCAAATTTAACATATATATATATATATATATATATATATATATATATATATATATATATATATATATATTTATATGTGAAATTGCATTAAACGCATCTATATATGCATGTGAAAAAGGTTATCATTTGTTTTGAGAAATCATATCTTTTGAAATACAAGTGTAGAAAAGATTTATATTTTTAATATTGTGCACCCTATACAAGGCCCAAGAGTGACTCAAGGTAGAGGTTACTGAAGAAGGTTGTTGTTTGAGCGGTAAGAATAAGTGGTCAGAAGCGCAGTTTAAGAGGAGAAGTGAGAAAGTTAACGGTTAAACCTAGAGTTGAACAGGTTAAGATGGTAGTCGTCGGGGAAAGCATCTACTTGGGAGTCGGTTCCACAATTTTGCGGTTCGTTGCGCGAGTGGAAATTCCTTTTTCCTCACTTACCACGAAAGGAAGGAGACGGTTCGCCTCACTGTAGGCAGCGTTGCGGATTTTAACTGTGGGTTGGTCAGAATTGGAGGAACTAAAGAATGTAGCTCGTTTGCAAGGCCGAAAAAGACGCGTAGGAACACTGTCAATAGTGGAAGAATATGAAAGAAAGAACGCTTATCCATATAGACTCATTATATTGATATTTTTGTCTGTCTGTATGTATGGTTGTCTGTCTGTCTCTCTCTATATATATATGCGTGTGTGTTTGTGTGCGTGGGTGTTTGTACACATATAACGTTTAACATTGCTTCATGTTATGGCGCTTTCTCTTGGCGACAAATTTAATTTATTTTATTAACTCCTCATGCATGTGCTTTCTTCACTTCAAACAAACACCATTCGTAAAATACAAATGGCGGGAAAGTTTATTAGATTACAACAAAAAGAGCAACGCTTTTCGTTTCATTAGTGAAACGAGCGAATTCTCGTGTACGTTCAAAGCGGGGAAATTTGACTTTGCGATGGCTCGCACGTACATCGGGCTTTGTGGTCTACTCATGGGTTACACCCTATTTAAAGACTGTTGGCTATTAATCTAATTATGTTTTTGCTTTACCAATAGATCAACTAGAAAACTTGGACTGTAATCAATATGTCGAAGAGTAATTTCACGTCTCAACTCCTACCTGCTGCAACAAAACATCTGTATCGTTTTTATTATTCGATCGATTTTCGTCGCTTGTTTTTGGAATCCTCCATCAGTATAAAGACCGTACTAGAATAACCGTGTATTTATTTAATATCTTTAAGATTTGCAAGTCGTAACTCGATTGTTTATAATTGTATAAGTACAAATATTCTTTTGAGATGATCTGGATCATGGATTATCTTCCTTGTATATATTATAATTAATTAAGAACAGAGTCGCTTCAGTAAGGAAGAAAGGAAGAAAAATAAGCGTTGCGAAAGGAAAAAAAAAAAAGTGGGGAAGCCGAATAAAATCGACTGTGCTGTTCATACAGACACGTTGGACTCCACAAATTTAAGATATTAAATTTAACGTTCATACGGTGCCTAATAATAACCAGTATTTAGGTTTATATCTCTCCGCCTCTTCCTTTCTTTCTCTCCTTTTTCTCTCTCTCCCCTTTCTCTCTCTCTCTCCTTTCTCTCTCTCTCTCTCTTTCCCTCTCTCTCTCCTTTCTCTCTCTCCTTTTTCTCTCTCTCTCCTTTCTCTCTCTCCTTTTTCTTTCTCTCCTTTCTCTCTTCCTCTCCTTTTTCTCTCTCTCCTTTTTCTCTCTCTCCTTTCTCTCTTCCTCTCCTTTTTCTCTCTCTCCTTTCTCTCTCCCTTCTTTTCTCTCTCTTTTCCTTTCTCTCTCTCTCCTTTTTTCTCTCTCCTCCTTTCTCTCTTTCTCTCTCTCCTTTCTCTCTCTCCTTTTTTTCTCTCTCTCTCTCTCCTTTTCTCTCCCCCTCTCTTTTCTCTCTCTCTTCTTCTTACTCTCTCTTCTCTCTCTCTCTCTCCTTTTCTCTCTCCCTTTCTCTCTCCTTCTTTTCTCTCTCCCGCCTCTCCCTTTCTCTCTCTCCGTTCTCTCTCCTTTCTCTCTCTCTCTCCCACTACTCTCTCTCTCCTTTCCCTCACTCTCCTTTCTCTCCCTCTCCGCCTCTTCCTTTCTCTCTCTCTCTCTCTCTCTAATTATATAGTTATGCTATCTCACACCTCTACTAGGACTCATGCAAAACGTAATCTACGGGTGCAGAATACAAAATGACGGTTTTATGGTTTGAATCAAAATATATCTGGCTATCACGACGCTGATGTGGTGATAAATGTTACACATTTTTAATATTGAACCTTAAAAATAGTAAAGTTAACAAAAATAATTAGGAGAAAAGAAAGAAGAGAAGAAAATTATAAGTATGAAAATAAAATTTAAAATATGATAAAATGGAAAAAGAAGAAAAGAAAATGGAGGAGGAAAAAAGATTGCATTGTGCATGAAACTCAGAGTCGCCCTAGATGTGTGAGATAATATGTATACTTATTAATATATATATATATATATATATATATATATATATATATATATATATATATATACGTAATATATATATATATATATATAGAAGATAATATTTATAAATTTTATTCATAAATATTGTCTTCTTTACTGGTTAAATTCTGAGAAATTTTCAAATAAAATTTACTGACGTTATTTTCAGTTAAAAATATGAAAATAGCGTTTCTCTACATTCCAGTTGCTAGGTACATTCTGTTTTTTGCTTTTATTAGTTACTTTGTTCATTTAATTTCATTTTCGTATTTTGCTTTGATAAAGTCACATTGGACGAAACGCGTCAGCAATTACCAGTTTTCCTATTGTCATTTTTATTCATATATATATATATATATATATATATATATATATATATATATATATATATATACCCCCCTCTTTCGTATCGTATATGTATATACCTATGTATATATGTATATATATATATATATGTGTATATATATGTATATATAAAAGTATACATATATATGTATATATATATATGTGTGTATATATATATATATATATATATGTATATATATATATATATATATGTATATATATATTTATGTATATATTTATATACATATATATATATATGTATATACTACATATATGTATACATATATATATATGTACGTATATATAATCATACTTTCATATAATTAACTGTACACTGATGCATAACTAAATATGCATAAAAACACAAAAAATTCAATTTAACTGAAATAAATTCCATTTTTCATTTTAATGCGTAAAAATGTATTCGTACAATACAAATAAGAATGTGTAATCTTCATTTAATACTTTGTAGAATAACCATTATTCACTTTTCCAGCAATCAACCTCTTCTTGTAATTCTCAATTAATGATTTGCAAATTTTAATTGGTATTTTGTTCCATTCTTCTTCGTATAGGTTCTTCAGATCCGGGATATTTGTTGGATCTCTCGATTGGATTTAAATTTTCAAATAACGCCACAGATTCTCGATTGGGTTTAACTCTGGAGACTGACTTGGGCATTTCATATTTACATTATTTTTAGCAAGCGGCTTCTTCGTAGATTTTCTAATGTGCTTAGGATCATTATCTTGTTGCAAATTCTAATCAGGTGGAAATTCAAGATTTCCAAATGAAATCATTAAATTTGTTCCCAAAATATTTTGATAAGCTCCGGCATTCATTCTACCGTCTATTACTGATATGATGTCAGTACTTTTGCAAAAAGATATCCCCCAAACTATGCTGCTGCGACCACCAAATTTCACTTTTGGAACTGTGTTCTTTTGTTTGAAGACATCGCTTTCTTTCCTCCATACATGGTTGCTAGAATTACGTCCAAACAACTCAATTTTAGTTTCGTCTGTCCCAATACGATTTTTCCTTATCCTTATCTTCACAAACGAATTTCAACCTGACATCTGTATGTTCTTTCAATAGCACTGGAGTTTTTCGAGCGGAGCGGGTTTTAGATTGTTCCTATGAATTTCATTGCTTATTCTCCGTTTGGTGTCACACATTTCTGATGAAAACAAAACATCCTGCAACTCTTGACGAGTAACTATTGGATTTCATTTAATTTGATGCTTTAAACTCCTCGAAGATCTTGAAGAAATCTTCCGTGGAACACCTGTGCTTCTTTGATTTTAGATATATTGCAAGGAATGATCTAGTGGTATTAAATGGCATATTCAGGTTGACTGAGATTTTCCTGTAACATTTAGCAGCTTTCCAGAGTTCAACAATCAGTTCTTTTTGCGAATTTGTCAGTACTTGATCTCTTGCCATGATGAAAACCTTCTTGCACGAATATCAAATATATGTTTGTACTTTCCAGGCTAAAAATAACTACTGTTAACATTATTGAAACATTCTAGAATATTTCACTTGAATAATCTAGAGTATTAAAGCAAAAACAAATGTCTATTAAATCAAAATTTGTCTGTTTTTTTCTATGCATATACATATATATATGTGCATATATATATATATATATATATATATATATATATATATATATATATATATATATACATGCATATATATTCTATGTATATATATATATATAAGTATGTATGTATGGATATATATGTATGCATATATATGTATTTGTATGTATTTATATGTATGTATAGATATATGTATGTATGCCTACATATTTATATATATAAATACAAATATAGGTAACTATACTCGTTTCGGAAAACCCTCGAACTTTTGATTTGTCAATAATCAAATCAATCTCGAGGGAAAAAATTGTTTTAAAAAAAGAAAGAGCTAGAAACATGAAAGTCTGTCGGAAAAAAATCGCACAGATACAGGTTTGAAGCCTAAAGAAAAAAAACCCATACGAGTAAACAACTTTATATATAAACAACTTTATATATCAATTTATATATATATATGTTTGTATATGTATATATATATATATATATATATATATATATATATATATATATATTATGTGTGTGTGTGTGTACAATTGTCTATATATGATAAACATATAGTTTTAAGCTATCCTATATTTATCAGTAAAAGTAGTCATTGAGATCAGCATCCCGCGTTAATAGCTGTTTCATGCTTAGACGCAATCGTCAGGCCATCTGTATCTCTCTCTCTCTCTCTCTCTCTCTCTATATATATATATATATATATATATATATATATATAATTTCATCAACAAGAACATTATGTTATTCTTCCCTATATACATTACTTTCGTCAGATGAAGTCAATTTAGGCGAAACTAGTGACATGGAATTTTTACACATTGTCATTCAATTTCTTAATATTGTTTTTTTTTATTACTTCGAACGTTATTTTTAGTGGATATCCATATTTGAGTAGAAACTCGATTAACTTAAGCAGTGGTTATTAGGTTAGTGCAAAAATAATGTCGTTTTTTGACGTTAAGTTGAACGTCAAAGAACGACATTATTTTTTTATTCTGTGTAATGTCTAATATGGGAGAATATTGGAAAATTTATCAAAATGATGATGTGATCTTAAGAGACAGGGATCCAGTTCTACTGACGGTTGCTGTGAATACAACGAACAGAAAATATGAGAAACATAGACGTTTTTAGGAAAGATGGCGTAGAGAATTTCTCACTCACATAACATACAGTAATCAGGAACACAATCGGTAATCTACTTAATGTGTTTCTTAAAATGGATGGCAAAACAAGGAAAAAGAGGAGTAGTAAAGAGTTAAACGCTATTTAAAGAAATAATCCAAAAAATCAGCCAAGTAATTGTAGAGAAAAATGATTATCTACGGTCTGAAAGGACACAACACCCCAAAGAAGAAATTTAAGTATTTTTTTTTATATAGGCTAGAAAATGAAGTCGATTGGTGACCATAGAGTAAACTGCAACTCATTTTTTATTTTTTGTAATTTTATTTTTTTTCATGTTAAAGATTATTAATCGAATAATCTTCAGTGTGGCAAAAAATCAAAGAATATAAATGTACGTATATATGTGTAGCAGAGATATGTCACTACAGTAGCAGCCCTGTCACATGACCAGGTGGTACGAGGTGAGTAGGCCAAACACATCTCGGAATAACAACTTCCGTTGTCATCTTCATGACATGAGAGAGTGCATTAGAAGTACATTTCGAATTGGGAGTCGCACTGGGTAATGTTTGACGCCACACATGATATTTGATGTGCAGAAAAGTGACATGCAAAAATGCTCGACTTTCAAAGATTTTCGATTTTTTTTATTTCGAATACGTTTTTTTTGTTTTGTTTTTACATGTGCACAAACGCAAACACACACAAGCACACAACCGCACACAGACACACAAACACACACATATATATAATTGTGTATTTAGGCAGCAATCCTCCTTTTAAACAAGTTTCATTAAAAACGACTGATAAGGTACTGAAGATTTTATTTAATTTTTCTTGTGTTCTTATAATTTTGTTCTTTTCTGGACATAAATTGTGTAGAAATTGTCCAAATATTTTCTGCATCCGAATGCTTTCTGCTATACTTCTAGCCATTATCAATGATGATTTTATGTTTACTTTTAACTGAATGTATGGATTGTTTTATGTATATATCTATAATTATAGGAATCTTTTATTTTCCAAACACGGTCAGCAAATTGAGGTCGTGTTCATAGTTGATGTTACTGAGTGCTGGCTTTTTCATTTTATTAATAATGCTTCCATTATCTTTAACCTTTTTTTAAATATGTGGATGAGGTTGTTATATCTGTATTATGAAGGGGTATATTGCGGATAGAGTTTGGTAGAGCTTGTCTCATTGTAGGGAAATCAAGGCTCACTAGCAAATACAGAAAGCGAACATTAAAAGAACATAAGGAAAATTTATTCCTTTGAAAAATTTAATCCTTTTATTTGCCTGAAGAAAGTCACGAGACCGGAAACGCGTGTAGCAGAAATATGAAGAATAAAATATAATATATATACTAAAACAAATCCACATTATAACCAAAAACGTATGCGGTTTCTCTCTTTTTTAAATATACATTTTTCTCTCGTTGGCACAACTATAACCTCTTCCCTAAAAAATAATTGTCGGACTTTGTCCATTTCATAATGTGTGATGTCATTTGTTTACATTTGGAAACGCCATGAGCAGATATAAATGTACGTGAGAA